GTGAGCTCAAAAGCATTAAGGAGAATGACACATTTGAATTGGTGGAGCTACCGGAGGGGCGTACGGCGATAACGTCCAAGTGGCTCTTCAAAATCAAGTCGGATGCCAACGGCAAGATCGAGCGCTACAAGTCTAGGCTTGTAGCCAAGGGGTACCAGCAGAAGGAGAAGGTGGACTTCAAGGAGCTGTTTGCCCCTGTAGTGAAGCCAGCGACGCTACGAACCCTATTCGCGCGAGCCGCCATCAAAGGATGGGTAGTAAAACAAATGGACATCGTAACGGCATTCCTTAACGGCATCCTTGAGGAGGAGATTTTTATGGCGCAGCCTTAGGGGTTTGACGATGGTAGTGGCAGAGTGTGGAAGCTGAAGAAGGCCCTCTATGGGCTGAAGCAGGCCCCTAGGCAATGGTACATGAAGCTGCACGAAGTGTTGGAGGAGATCGGCTTCACTCCCTCAACGGCCGATCACTCCTTGTTCATGCTTGGCGAGGGGGAGCAGAGGAGCTTCATGGTAGTTTATGTGGATGACATTCTCATCTTCTCACCCTCCTCTGACCTTGTGAAGGAGGTGATGCTGACGCTGCAAGACAAGTTCAAGTGCAAGTCCCTTGGTGACGTGAACTTCTACCTTGGGCTCCACATCGAACGAGACGTGGAGAAGCGGAGCATGCGAGTGCACCAACTGAAGTACCTGGAGGCGTTGGCTGCCAACTTTGGCCAGAGTGAAGGTCATGTGGCTACTCCCTTTCCTTTTGGGTTCAAGTGTGTGAAGGGACCAGAGGAGGAGAGCGTTGGTGAAGAGGAGAGGCGCCGTTTTCACTCGTTGGTGGGCAGCCTCATGTATGTGGCGGTGAACACTCGGCCGGACGTTGTCTTTGCTACCGGGCAGCTTGCTAGGGTTGTGCAATGCCCTAATGAGGAGCAGGTAGTAGCTGGAATGAGGGTGGCCAAGTATCTTGGCCAAACACCAACCGTTGGGCTGCAATACTCGACGGCGGTGCAAAGGCGCCAAAAGGGCGCGGATGGTGTTGAACCCGGGCGTTTGTTCCTCACCGCCTACTCGGATGCTTCATATGCATTGGAACCAGAGAACATGACAAGTGTTGGAGGGTTCATTTGCTGTGTTAGTGGAGGCCCAACTGCTTGGGAAAGCAAGAAGCAGGTGGACCAAGCATTAAGCTCGGTGGAGTCTGAGTACATAGCACTCTTCCGTGCCGTACGGGAGATTGTGTGGCAGCGGTGTTTGTTGGCTGAATTGGGGGAGGAGCAGCAAGGACCTACCCCACTCTACTGTGACAGCCAGGGTGCCATTGCTCCGGCTAAGAATCCTGTGTTGCACGGCCTCACCAAGCACATGAGGGTGAAGTGGCATTGGACGAGGAGCATGGTGGCTGCGGGTGAGGTTGAGTTGCACTATGTGAAGGCGACGGGGCAGCGAGCTGATATGATGACCAAGAGGCTGGTGGAGCAGCACCATTGGAAGTGTTGCAAGCTGACTGGGATGGCTCTAAACTGAGAGCAACAGATCCTACGGTCAACAACCCGAGGGGGAGTTTGTTGGTGCAACCCTACGGTTTGCACTCGGCTTGTTGTCTGTGTGCGTGCATGCGTGTGTGCATGGAATGGTATGAGGGCATGAGATCATATATATTTCATGCTTATAATAGTGTGCGAATGTTGAGTCATGATGTCGAATGTGTGTGTCAAGTCAATAGTGAGTTATCGCTATTTGTGTCCCGTGCGGTTTCTATTTTGTCGCTTGTGTGTCTCGCGCAGTTCCTATTTTGTCCTGTGTCGAACGTTCGGCGTGTCGCAGGTGTGTGCAGCAGACCCATGAAGAACTCAAGGATGAGTTTGTGGTGAAGAACCAGAGCCTTGGTGTTAAGCCTCAAGTGATTTCGAAGCTCGCCAAAGAGGGTACACTTCAAGATGTTGAAGATAGTTACATTACCTTGTGTAGTGTAACATTTATGTGGGTGTAGACCCTTGTGGAGGGTAGTTTCGAGACCCTTCTTGGTTGGGGACAGTGTGGCACTGTTCCACATCAGTGTACCTTGGGTCTTGGGGTTTGTAGGAGCTGGGAGTCATTCCCAACTCGTAACTCTTCCTAACTCTTCCTATCTTGTGTTTTAAGACTATAATGGCTGCAATAGTGCTGTTCGTTCAAACCGTTGCTGTGTCGTCAATACTTGGTGAAATCGTGCGATCTAAATTGCCTATTGTAGGCGACAGTAAGACGCTCCAGATCCAAGTTAAAAAAGGTCATTTGAAGCTGTGACCAGAACGCTATGAACGTTTGAAGCCGCTGTGCAGAAATCCAACTGTGCGCTCTATCTTTCGTTTTAGGCACATTGGAGCCTACTGTGACTATAACAATACGTGTACAGAAACATTGTTTATTTTACGGCGCCTAATACACTGAGCATTTTGCATCCAAAGTGAGAATGCATTGAGGCGGCGACTTAGCGATTCCCCTTTCCCCCCCCGTCCGATTCCCCTTCGCCGACGCCCGATTCCCCTTTCCCGCCGCCTGATGCCCTTCCCATTGCCGGTTTCCCCCCAATTCACCCCAATTGGTCGATCCAGGGCTGGTTGCAGCAGAGGGGGGGGAGGGGAGCGTGGGGGAGGAGAGAGAGGAGGAAGGGGAGGAGGGCTGGTCGATGGTGAGGATATCAGGTGCGGAGGAGACAGGAGCGGAGGTGACAGTAGGGGAGGTGGCAATAGGGGAGGTGACAAAGCTGAGTGGTGCTCTAAAGAAGATGTCCATGTCCTGTTGAGAAGGATGTATGGTTGGGTGGTTGGGTGGGTGGGAGGGTGGGTAGGAAACAAAAGTGGGAAATGGTGAGGGAGAGTGGAATGACCCCTCACAGCAATCCACAACATTCATAGTGTTTCAGGGCATTATAAGGCACATGGTGTGTTGCAAAACAACACGGTACACATGGCTTATGTGGCATCATGATTGCATTGCCATTCTATGCCATGCCATGCCATCTCATGCCATGCCATGCCATGCCATGCAATGGGGTACGCAAAACCCAGGCGCATTGCACAGCACGGCAGGGCAGCAAGGCAGACGTACATCAAAGAGGAAAGACTCCACGAAGCTCCTAATGAGAGCATCCACCGCTTTGCTGGGGGGACTCAGCTCATCCCCTGCTGCCGCTCCTGCCCCTGCCCCTGCCCCTACACCTGCTCCTGCCCCTATGCCATTAAGGCATTATCCCCACAGCCCTACACACCCCCAATTCCCGCATGCCCTCATTATCCCCCCTATATATCGTCATTATCCACCCCTCCGTCCCCTTTTGACCTCTTCTCCCCTCTATTCCACCCCTCCTTCCATTCCCCTTTCTTGCCTCCCAATTTCGCCATGCCGCCACCCTCCAGCTAGCCCATCTCCCTCACGATAGCCCAACTCCCACTTGCCAGACCATTTCCCTCCCATTACACCTCCCTTCATCATTTTTCCCCTTCTTTCCCCCCTTCTTCCCTCTCCTTCTCGCCTCCTCTCCCCCTCTTTCCTCCAAATCACCCCATCCTTCTCTGTCCCTCCCCATCTCCCCTTCCTGTCTCCCTATCCTTGCTTCCTTATGTCAACGGGAGTTGTTGTTGGCCCCGTCCTCGCTTGGGCGGAGCCGACTTCGTGGTTGGGTGTACGGGAGGTACCGCCGACTTGCAGCAGTGGGCGAGCTGGTTGACGGGGTTGGTCGACTTGCACGGGGCCACTGCAATGCCGCCGACTTGGGAAGCCGGCGGCCAACTTTAACTGGTGGTCGGTGATGTGGCGCGTCGACCTGGAAGTCGGCGCCGACTTGCAAGGTCGCCAACTTGCGAAGTCGCCAACTTGGGAGGTCGCCGACTTTGAGAGGTCGGCCTGGAAGTCGACGCCGACTTGGTGACACCGACTTTGGGTAGCCGTCTTGGGTGGTCGGCTGGCAACTGCGCTGGTCGACATGGAGCTGGTCGACCAAGAGTGACGTCGTCTTGGAGCTGGTCGACCAAGGGTGTGGTCGACCTGGTGAGACCGACCTGGAGTGGTCGTCGACTTGGGAGGTCGACGGGCACATACAGGAGCAGCTGGTTGACATGGTTGCCCGGTCGACCAGGTTACCTAGGTGACGAGGCTCTGCGGAAGAGTGCGACGGTCTCCCAGGCGATGTTGGCGAGGCTAACCTCGGGGGTGGTATCCCAAGGTCAACGTGGCGGATCAGGTGGAATCGTCAGCACGAGGATGACACGATGTGTGCGTTGTGCATGTGACGATGCTTAGCCTGCCAATCATCTGCGAGCACGTACGAAGTAGGTGCGCTGCTGTTCTGCGGGAGCAACGCTGTCACGCCGACAACCTGCAGCGTTGGCACACCGTCGACTTTGCACCGCTGGAGCGAAGTCGACCAAGTCGTGCTGGAACGTGGTGGACCATGCTGCGCTGGCAGTCGACCGACCTGAATGCTAGCTCTGATGTAGTATTGTCCAACCAACTTCATTGTACCATTGTTGTCAACTTTCTCTAGTGAAAGTCTTGCCAAATTGCCCCGTGACCTAGCAAGCAGTGTGTGCACTAGGAAAATGACTTAGGAACAGAGAACGCAGAGATCACACGAGCATCCGTGCCTAGCTCGTAGTCTAGCTCCCATTGTAGTAGTTATCTCCGCACCTTACGCACTCCTCGTGCCATTCTCACTCATGCAATCCTCACTGCCATCCCTCCCTTCTTGCTTCCTGTAACCAAGCCCCCCTCGATTCTCTTATCATCACCTACCAGGCAACAGCGGCATTGCCATGGGAAATTTCCACATGCATCTCCCACCTACCCCCACCTACTCCCATCTCAACTCCCCTCCCCCTACCACCTGCTCCCATCTCACCTCCCCTCCCCCCCACTACCACGGGATTTCAGCCCACCACGCCTCCCCATACCACCTACTCTCATCATTGCTCCCCTCCCCCTACCACATACAACATACTCCCATCTGACCTCCCCTTCCCCAACTACCTACTCCCTTCTCATCTCCCCTCCCCCTACCACCTCTCCCGCCCATATCCGGCACTCCTTGCTCACCTCCCCTCCCCCTACCAGGGGCACTCTTCTCATCTCCTCTCCATTTCCCCTGCTTTCCCCCTCCCCTACCAAGGGCGTTCTGCTCACACCCTGCCCCTCCAGGAAACCCACACTCCTATTATCCCATGTTTGGTCCCCAAGCATTCCCTTGCTCGGTTTCTGTGTTTGCGTTGCAGGTGGGGAACCTTCCCGACAGCACATCCTACTATTTGCGCCTCACGGGGCACATAAGAGCCAGCAACCTGGGCATGGAAAGGCAGCGATGGCAATGGGAATGGCAAGGGAATGTGGCAACGGCCACGAGCAAAGCAGCTTCAAGCCTCTTGGTCACTTGGCCCGTGGTTGTATAGTCCAAGCATCTAATTTGCCGCCTTGAACGTAGCACATACATACATCCCCTCCCTTCCCCTTTTAGGCGTTTCTTACTGACCCAACACATCGTGCCATCAAACACATGTTTCAGTGTTTTTTATCAATTAGTTATTGACCGTGGTGTTTTGTGGCATCGTTGGAGGTTGCTAACATCACCAGTGTAGCATGTACTCTATTGTAACACAGTATGTAATCAGAGCAGTTTGGTTTCAAGTCAAAGCAGAGGCAATCCATGCACACTAATTTACCATCATCGCCCGGATATAAGACATGTATGTCTTATCTCATACATTAAAAAAATCAGTCTTATAAATGGACAAAAATCCGTTTAGAAGATACTTCCTCGTTATACATTTGCCATTTGCCCCTACACACAAATAGGTGTCTTATAATGAGGCTACCCCGTTTATAAGAGACACCCGTATAATAGACAACCCCTGTCTACTATTCAACACTGTCTTATATCCGGGTGATGACGGTAGCAATGTACGATTGGTCAAGTGTGCAGCCAACTTCTACTTATAGGCGATGCGGGAAATGTGACGGTGCTGGCAGGCGATGGGGAGGATAGCCGAGCGAGGAAAGGGTGCACACAGCAGGCCGCCTTTCCAGGACACCACCATCTTTTGGGGCTGCCAGGCGGACCAGTCATTGGAGGCCTATTCCAGTAGCACCACATTCACTTCTACATAGCAAATCTGCCCGTTGTCGTCCGTTTACAGCGCCCCAAACCTGCAGGAGGGATTGGGAGAGCAGGGATGTGTAGAGGATGGATGGGGGGAGAAGGGGAAGAGAGGCAGAGCAGAGATGGGGTGAGGCAGAGATGGTGTGAGGTGGAGATGGGGTAAGGCAGAGAAGCAAGGAGGAAAAGGAGGGGAAGCAAGGAGAGGAAAGGAGGGGAAGCAAGGAGGGGAAAGGAGGGGAAGCAAGGAGGGGAAAGGAGGGGAAAGGAGGGGAAGCAAGGAGGGGAAAGGAGGGGAAAGGAGGGGAAGCAAGGAGGGGAAAGGAGGTGAAGCAAGGAGGGGAAAGGAGGGGAAGCAAGGAGGGGAAAGGAGGTGAAGCAAGGGGGAAAAGGGAGGGGAAGCAGGGGCGGAAAGGAGGGGAAGCAGGGAGGTAAAGTAGGGGATGCAGGGGGGAAAAGGAAGGAAAGCAGAGGGGGAAAGGAGGGGATGCAGGGGGGGAAAGGAGGGGAAGCAACGGGGAAAAAGGAGGGGAAGCAGGGGCGGAAAGGAGGGGAAGCAGGGAGGGGAAGCATAGGGGATGCAGGGGGAGAATGGAGGGGAAGCAAGGGAGGGGGGAGGAGGGGAAGCAGGGGGGAAAGGATGGGAAGCAAGGAGGGGAAAGGAGGGGAAGAAAGGGGGGGAAAGGAAGGGAAGCAGACTGGAAAAGGAGGGGATGCAGGGGGGGAAAGGAGGGGAAGCAGGGGGGGAAAGGAAGGGAAGCAGACAGGAAAAGGAGGGGATGCAGGGGGGAAAATGAAAGGAAGCAGAGGGGGAAAGGAGAGTATGCAGAGGGGGAAAGGAGGGGAAGCAAGGGGGGGAAAGGAGGGGAGGCAGGGCGGAAAAGGATGGGAAGCAAGGAGGGGAAAGGAGGTGAAGCAGGGAGGGAAATAGGGGATGCAAGGGGGGGTAAGGAGGGGACGCAAGGGAAGCAAGGGGGGGAAAAGAGGGGATACAAGGGGAAGGGAGTAGGAGGGAAAGCAAAGTAGGGTGCGAAATGGGTGCATGCGCAGAGAAAACAGGGGAGATGAGTTCAAGCGGGGGGCCGGAATGAATTCAAACGTGTGGAGAAATCCGTGGGGCGAGCAGCGCGTGGGGCGAGCAGCGCGTTACTAGTGGCTGCAGTAGGATGGCTGGCACGCGCGCGCTTCTGGATGGCATTTCGCTGGCGCGCGTGTGCCAGCAATCGCGTGATGTTTGCCGGCAAGTGCGCGCGTCAAATGCGCTAGCTGTGCTGGCGCGCGCGTTATGCTGGCGCGTGCCACTTTGCTGCGCGCGTTTTACTGGCGCGCGCAGCTCTGCTGAGTGCGCCCTGCTAGAGCGCATGGAATGGTGCGTAGCGGGCGCAAGTTCCGCTCGCGGAATGCCAGAATAGCTGGTGCAAGTGGCGCTAGCGGACTGGAAGCACAGCTGGCGCCAGTGACGCGCGCGGAATGTCAGCGTAGCTGACACACACGACGTACACGGATGCCAGCATAGCCGGCGCTAGTGACGCTCGCAGGCGTCGCCTGTACAGCACATGGCTAATTAGTCACGCGCGTCTATGTATGTGGTCGCGCTGCTGGTCTAGCACCCTCCGGCCCGCGCCTAGGTTGTTTGTACCTAATCTATTAGCTATTAGATGCGAATTCTCCGTGGTGTGTGAGCTAGAACGTAAGTTAGGTGGCGGGAGGCCTTTCCCTTTTTTTGATTGACAACCTACCCAACCCAACCCTTTTTCCCTCACAACAGAAGTGCTTCAGTTTTTCGCCAACACTCTCGCAATTCTATTTTTATTTTTGTTGAGGCGAAATCTCCTGGCACACTGTACAGAAACAACAGTGCTGCCAAATGTATACTGCTGCTTTAAGATACTAAGGAATGATCAGGGTGGGGAGTACATGGGGAAGGATCTAGAGACCTTCCTTGAAGACAAGGACATCACCCACCAGCTTTCAGTTGCCTACACACCACAGCAAAATGGGGCAGCGGAATGGCTAAATCGGACTCTCATTGACCTTGCCCGAGCCATGCTTGCTCATGCACAGCTTGACCATACTTGGTGGGGGCCAGCCATGCAATATGCAAATTGGTTTAAGAACCAGTCAGGCAGCAAGGGGCTAGGGGCAAAAGCCCATGCCCATACTTCATGTGGACTAGGAGGGTGCTTCGTGTGTCGATGACACGAGTGTGATGGTGCATGGCGCAGTACAAAGCGCTCGACCAGCAAAGGAGGAAGCTGGATCTCAAGGCACAATGGAGCATTTTCCTTGGGGTGTCGGAGAGGAGCAAGGCTTGGGTGTTATGGAGTGTGGCGAATCAGTGGGTGGTGGAAAGTAGAGACGTGGTTTTCCACGAAGGGCTGAGCTACAAGGGGTGGAAGGAGCATGGGACTAGTACGGTTGGGAGTTCCCTCCAGGATCCCTACACCTCTTCCATCTTTGAGGAAGCATGGGAGGATCCTGGAGAGGAGGTAGAGGAGCAGCAAGAGAAACAGAAGGCAGCTGCACCTCACCATGAGGAGTCCCCAACTGCTGGTTCCACCCCCTGACTCTAACGCACCAGCCCATGCCCCGAAGCAGCTACATGGGCAGCAGCAGCAACAACAAGAGAAGCCGCAGCAGCATACATTGACTGCTCATGTGGGTAGGCGGCAGCAACTACTGCAGCAGCAACTGTCCAAGTCACCATGGTCCCCCATGAAGAGGTGACTTGGGAGGAGAAGCTGCAAAGTTTGGAGCAGGGGGAGGCATCACCTCTGCGACGCAGCACACGCATCTCCCGGCCACCTGAAAGATTCACTCCAAATGCACAGTTTTCTTGCATGAATGATCATGAGGTGCATGATTGGGAAGAGTGCATGCTTGTGGATGCTGATGGGGGTGAGCATGGATTTCATTTTTTGCCCTTATGGGTCAGGTGCATAAGCCTAAGTCGGTCAAGGAGGCCTTGTCCCGTCCTAAGTGGGTCGAGTCCATGCGTGAGGAGCTTGAGTCCCATAGGTTGAATAAGTACTTTGGGCTAGTTGATACAGCTTGTGTGCCACCTGGAATGGAGGTCTTGAGGTGTCAGTGGGTGTGGAAGTACAAGCACAAGGCTGGCGGCAGTATTGAGAGGCCTAAGTCCAGGTTGGTGGCCATGGGGAACACTCAAATACGGGGTGTTGACTATGACCAGGTGTTTGCCCCGGTCAATAAGCCTACTATCCCAAGAGGCTCCCTTGGAATGGCAGCATCTTTGGAGTTTCATGTCCATCATATGGATGTGATAATTGCGTATCTTCATGGGGTCTTGAAGGAGGAGCTTGACATGAGAAAGCCCCCTAGTTTTGATGATGGATCCGGCAGAGTTTGCCGGCTCAGAAAATCAATCTATGGGCTGAAGCAAGCTCCAGGCCAGTGGTACCTCAAGCTTGACAAGGCCCTGATGGATTTTGGCTTTGAGATGTCGGAGTGTGATTCCGCCTTGTACCACTTGGTAAGGCGTGAGAGCAGGATGTCCCTCTACCTCTATGTGGAAGACATTTTGCTCGTCTTCGAGCATAGTCTTGCTGGAAGAAGTCAAGGGTCTCTTGTCCTCTCGATTCCATATGAAGGAATTGAGGGAGGCTAAGTACTATTTGGGGGTGCAGATTGAGCGTGATGAGAGTGGCATCTTCATTCATCAGGAGAGGTACATTCAACATGCTTGAGTCCTTTGGCCTTTCTGAGGCTAACCGCGTGCGTACCCCTCTCCCTACAGGGTTCGACGTGCATGCACTTACTGAGGAGCCCTTGCTGAAAGATGAGTTGGTTCAGCTCTATCGAAGCATTGTGGGGTCCCTCATGTATGCATGTACGACCACATAGCCCGAGAAATTTTATGCAGTGTCACAGCTGTCCAAGGTGGTGTCCTGTCCCAAGGCATTCCACCTGCAGGTTTCGAAGAGAGTATTGAAGTACCTGAAAGATTGTGGAAGTCGGGAATCTTCTTCTCCACACGCAGTGAGCCTCAGGTCGAGTTGGAGGGCTTTAGTGATGCTGATTATGCTGGAGATTCAGATAATCGCAAGAGTCATACTGGCTATGTCTATTGCCTTAATGGTGCAGCCATCTCTTGGCAAAGTAAGAGGCAGCCGGTGGTTGCATTGTCCGCCACAAAGAGTGAATAAATTTGTCTGTGTCAGTGCATTCAAGAGGGTGCGTGGGTAAAGCGTTTGTTTGGGGAGTTTGGGCATGAGTTTGCTGGTGGTATGTCTGTGTTTGTGGACAACCAGTCTGCCATTGCCCTTGCACAGAATGCATGCTTGCATGGCTGCACCAAGCACATGCAGGTTCGGTGGAATTTTATCAGGGAGATGGTGGCTAGTGGCGAGGTGATCCTCAGGTGGTGTCTGACCAATCGACAGGCAGTATACATACTCACCAGACCCCTTCCCTTTGAGAAGCATGGTGTGTGCATGTCTTCGCTGAGGATGCAGCCCCATGTTGGCATGGTGTCTGAGCAGGATGGGGGAGGGCTGGTGCTTTTCTGCCTTGACGACATGATGATATGGCACACTCACCCCCGACAGACGGAGGACAGACAAACTCAGACTCAGCGACAAGACAGGCACCGTAGTCTAGACGACAGCGAGCAGCAAAGTCAACAAGCTCAGCAACTAGGGCACACGCAGCAGCAGTCTCAAAGGAAGGGTTAGTGAAAGCAGTGGCCAGGAGACGCGTGACAGTAGGACTGGCAGCACGAAGAGAGTCAGACTCAGGGTCACCAAGAGCAAGAAGAGAGGACTCAGGAGGAGACGGCAGAGGGACACGCTGTGGAGCAGTGGAGGGACGCAGTGACATCCGGTGTGTGCCAGGGACTGGTGGCGGATGCTCACGCGGAGTACGGCGACTGGTATAAGTAGTACGAACACGGGACTCAGGACGGGACACAGGTGACACAGGGCGAGACGCAGGGTGACGACGCTCTGTGAGACCGCCTGTAGGACCAGTGTAGGGAGAAGGACGAGGAAGTGGCGAGGCAGGCGGTAGCTGTGACTGCGACTGGACCGGCGGTGGACACTCTACAAAGGGAGGGGGACAAGGCGGAGGTGGCTGACCAAGAACCTGCTGAAGGAGTGGAACAAAGTACGCCCGCGGCTGTGAGGTGCCCCCTGCAGCAGCAGAGACAGCACCAGAACCTCCAGCAGCTCCAGCAGCACCCCCAGCACCTCCAACGCCCGGGTCCGCAGCACCAGCAGCAGCTCCAACGCCCGGGTCCGCAGCACCAGCAGCAGCTCCAACGCCCGGGTTTACAGCACCAGCAGCAGCTCCAACGCCCGGGTATGCAGCACCAGCAGCAGCTCCAACGCTCGGGTCTGCAGCACAAGTAGTAACTCCAACGCCCGGGTCCGCAACACCAGCAGCAGCTCCAACTTCAGGGTCCGCAGCACCAGTAGCAGGGTCTGCGACACTAGGAGCGCCACTCCTGAGACTGCAGCGCCGTGCGTACCACTCACGAAGACGCTGGGGAGAGGGCAGCTCCCGCCTGGGCAAGGAAGCACGAGCACTAGCTCCAGCAGCACCTCTCCTGAGGCTGCAGTACTGTAAGTACCACTCACGCAGCTGCTGTGAGGAGAGAGCTCCTCCAGGCGTAGCACTCCTAGGCTCAGCACGCCCAGGCTCAGCACCCCTAGACTCAGCACCAGCAGGCTCCGTACTCCCAGGCTCAGCACCCCCAGACTCCTCACCCCCAGGCTCAGCACCCCCAGTCTCCGCAACCCCAGGCTCCCCACACTCAGACTCAGCACCCCAAGCAGGACGAGAGTCGACCGCTACCTCGACAGGCTCAACCGGGTCTACCTGGGACACACCTGAGGGAGCGGCACCCTGAGGGGGGAGGGGGTCTACCACAGCAGCACCTGGCGCGAGGACAGGAGGCGGGGGTGGGAGCGGGGCAGTGCGGTAGGGGAAGAGGCGGTAGAAGGGTATCGACTCGTCAAAGGTGACGTCCTGAGAGGCGAGGACACGGCACAAGGTAGGGTGGTAAAACTGCCAACCAGCCGCGT